TAGCAGGGTAACAAAAAGAATGAACCTAATGGCCAGTGATCAAACAGCGCACCCTCCTGCTACCCTAGCGCCACCTCTTCTCCCTTCCCCTCAGAACAAATTTGCCTCCTGCTTATTTTCTAGAGGACTAAACCTTTGTCACTGGGGGTGTGTGCGCATGTTGGGAGGGGGGAAGAGGTGGTATTTATTATTTATGTATCTACAGTTCTAAGTCAAGATTAATTAGTTAACTCTGCACAACTTTCCATTACTCCCTCCAAAATAGCTTTTCATTCTGTTGTCTTTAATCTTTCTTAATAATATTTAAAGTTAAACCCTATTAATCTGAATATCTTCCTCAATCCCCAACTAGACACTCATGTTTTAACATCACTAAAAAGCAAACAGCTTATACACCTACGGCAAGTAACTATAAAATTCAGAGTTTTCCATTTAAAAAAATGTCACACAAACACTGAAATAAAACAAGGAGTGAAAGCCAGATTTGTCATAGTCGTAATTACTTTGCTAAACTGTTGAATCAGACTCCCCAGTGCTGCATGAAACTGGGCTAATTATAAAAGAAACCTCTCACATTTAAAGTTAAATTATTTACAATTTGCTCTTCAAGCGAAGTACAATTCTAGCCATGCATCAGATCATGAAAAAGTTGTCTCAAGAATCACACATAAGTTAGTTAATATAGCATGAAATCCACAGAAAGAGTATTTTAATCTCTCTCATTTTTTTGTCGTTTTTTGTTTGTTTGTTTGCTTGCTTGCTTAACCATACTATATTCTACTTTCTGTTATAGCATAGCTGTAATCCTCAGTATGAAATCAACTATTTCTGGTGGCCAACCATACAGGTCAGCTTCATGAACCCAAAGTCTTCAGAGAGTGCTGTGAGCATTCCTTAAAACTTAGGCAATTAAATACTGATAGAAAATCCCAATATAAGGCTGACAAACTAAAATCCTAGCATGATAGCAAGATAGCAACTATAACATCACTTCAGAATCCCACAGAAGTATTTCCATACAACTATCTCAAAAAGTCCAGTGTTCACTACAAACAACATAGACACACACAAGATGCAGAACTGTGTCCCAGCAAGTAGTTGATCATGGAAGCAAGTTTGAACTGTGTTTACTAAGTGAACGCAAAGTTCCACTACAATGATGGTGCTAACAGAGCCAGTTTTTTGATGTAGAAAGAGAGATAAATGGTATTACATTTTTTTTACTCTTCACACTTACGAAGCTACAAAATTATTGAAATACTGTATTTAGTTGAAATCAGTATTTCAAATGCATATGAAAAAAATACCAGTAAAGACTGGGGAAAAAAGTCCTAAACTAAAGAAGTGAATCACTTTGTTTTTGCAGATAAATTTAAAGTAACCTCATCACAGTAAAGATTCTGACATGGAGGAAAAGATACCTACAAACAAACAGGTCCCAAAAAACTTCAAAGGTTTTACAAGTGTCACTATGGCTAGAAACTAAAGCCACAAGGAGTCAAACCAGATCATTATGTATATTTAAGAGAAAAATCATTGGTACAATCTATTACACGTCATAGAACTTATACTAGTTGAATTTGTAAAGTCAAGATCATATATGGTCATAAAATATATGCTTTTAGTTAAAAAGAAGGTATGAAAGTTGATAGCAGCATTAATTACTGAGACTGTTCTATTATGCTTGAAATCAAATCAGATGATCATACTATATCTTAATTATTAATTGCTTTTGAAAGATGGCAATCAACCTATAGCTACATCATCTGAATTTCTTTTGTTATATTCATTGAACCTTATCATCATAAATGGAGAAAAACAAAACACCCTTAAGCAGGAAGTCACACTGACACAATTACAGAACCAATTCACGTGAATATCCGCACAGCTCTAAAGAAAGTGATGTAGAACTGAATGTGCTTCTGTTATCAAATTATTTCATTTAGTTGCCTATAGTGTTACTTTAAATATAAACTATTCAGATAACATCGAGTCATTTTCCCAGTTTGTAAATAATAAAAAATAACCATCTGACGTATCAAGTTAGCAGACTGCAGTCAAAACTATATGAATTTAATTCTAACAGCTTTAATACAAAGTTTGTTAATCCATGGGGTATATTTACCTGAACATATTACTTCTGCAATATATTGCAATTTTTTTAAACAGGTTGTGGAATAGCAATGTACTACTCTTCCTGCCTTTGTATTTAATTCCTAAAGTAGTTTTAAGTTATTTTTAAGCCTTCAAGAGTTACATCAAGAAGTGTGCACCGAGATGAATAATTGTATGCGCTAAATAAACTGATTAAGTGAAATCACAACTCAGCCTGCTTAGAAAGAGGTCAAGAAAAAAATCCTAGCTGAAAATGTAAGTAGAATTTCTATTCATCTTTTTGTCACTCACAGTTGCAAAAACTTATTTGCTAAAAAAAGTTTAAAAACCTAAAATTAAGTCATTTCTTTCATAGCATTTGCGTCTATATTATGAATATTGATTTTATTATTATGAATATTATGAATGGTATTTTTATTGTAATTGATCTCCTACCTTAGTATGATACCAAGCAATATTCCTTTCATATTCTCTGAAGAAAGTATCATCCACAATTACCGGTAAACAGCTTTGTTTATTAGCAGGAACAGCAAAGAGAAACTATGCCTTTAATTATGGTATAATTCTTGCATCCTAGAACTCTGAGAGATGATTTAACTTCAGACACGTTTCAAATTTTCTGAAACACTCGAGCAGTTAGAGAGATGTTCAGCATGAAATTCTTTAGCTTTCTAATCTCAGTATGTGCTATCAACAACAGTTCTTCAACAAGCTGACAGAAACAAAAGAAATACATACTGAAGACTAAGATGTCATTCCCTCCCATTACATTTATTCTTCAATCTAACAAAAAAAAAGGGAGTGTAGAAAATTTAAAAATATTCAATGATAAGCAAAAACAAATTTGATCACTTGACATAAATGGAGATGACTTTCTAAAAAAGAAAACCACCATTTATCAGGTCATCTATTAATTATGAAAACATAAATCCTTAAGCAGAATCAGTTCATTTCTTACAGTCTTATCTATTGTGTCAAGTCACCAAATTCACTAGTATGATAAAAGCTATCAGACATCTACAGTTCAGGGTGCCTATTTTAATTACCAGGAATTGGTAATCTAGCTGTGACATCAATGTATGTGCGCTGAAGCAAGGCTGCCCAGGAGACTTTCAACAATTCATTTTCAAAAATTTCATAGTAGCCTCATATTTTTGCTAATCCAAAAGCGCATTAATACTTTTTTTGTTTTTTTTTTTTTTTTTTTTTTTTTTTTTTTTTTTAGATTCCCTTGCATTGTCAGATGATCCTTCTTCTTTAAGAAATTCAGGTGATAAACTGCAGAGCAGAAAGAGCTAAACATTACCTACTTGGCTCTTTTTTCTCGCCAAATCACTTGAGTGATGCAAATCATTTTTATAAGTACAGTAAACACATAGGTAGCAAAACAATAAATGGCAAAGCATTTACCCAACACAACTGAAAAATAACGTATAACACCTCTAAAACAGAGCTGTCAAGCATTAACGAGAAAACATGGTTGTAAAAGGTGCATTTAAATATGTTGGCTTCATTTATGAACAGAAGTGGGGCTTACTTGACAGTATTCAGCCTACACACGATGACAAGGCAAAGGACAATTACAAGGCAATATTATAAGATTTTCTTATATGAATGTATCTCAGGAAAATAACCACCCCTTTTTTTTTTTCTAATAGCAGAACTGATAAATGTGATTACTATCAAGTCTCCTAACCTTGCAAATAAGACAAGGTGAAAGAGAATATGTAAGTAACAAGAAACAATTTTCCACTTAGTCATGAGTTGTCTCCCTTAAGCTACTTTTCTGCAGTCTTGTCAGAAACTTAAAATAAATCCAAATAGAGAAGATATTAAATATCTTCTTGTGAATTTCTGTCACTGAATCCATTCAGATGGTTAATCCTGCTAAAACTTACTTTCCAAATACACAGTAGTTAGGAGAACCTCTTCATTACATCCACCTACTAAATGTGATGAGCAGCTATGAATGGCTCTAGACATCAAGACATCATTTTTTCCTTTGAAAAGCCCACAAAACCATGACTTCTGTCTGGCTGCAGTAAGAAAGAATAGATGTCACATGAACTATCTGAGCTTCTATAAATGCACAAAATGCCTTGGACTTGGCCATGTACCATACTCCAAATACTTCCACATATACAGAAATGTGCTTTGTGCAAAATAAAAACCTGCAAATTTCTTTTAAGAGAAAAAAGGACTTTTGCTTAGTCTTTCTCACAGTTTTGTGAGCTTCTTGCATCTACAGTATACTTTACACTTTTGAGCAAGAGTGAAGCTGGATATACGAAAGTTTTGGAGGGAAAACAGGCTAGAAAGACATCATTTGGTATTACCCCACAAATTTTACTTACTAGTGCTTAAAGAACCTACAGTCCCTACTCCCTACAGAAATAAAAAGACAAATCATTCTTGAGTACAAAACATGTAAATACTTTTCCTCGAAAATGATCTGTTAAAAATAAATAAATTAAAACTATTAACAAAATTCATACTCTCCCCTTCAAAAAACAACATATCTGAAGCTAAAATAATTAATACTCTACTGCTGATAGTTTTTTAGATTGAAATGATTCAACAATTATCATTAAATACCATTCTTTAAGGCAAAAACCCTCCCCATACTACTATCTTTATGACCAGCCACTATAACTACTTACTTCAAGAAAGTTATCTGGTTTCCTCCCTTGAGAGTCTGATTATAAATGCTTTAAGCTATACTCAGTTACATGTTTTCTTACGTTCAGCATGTTCTGTTACGCTTTTCTCTGCACTAGAATAAAAGCATGGAAGAGGGGACTTAAAACTTAATTTCAAGTGTTGTAAATACTTAACCAGACGATCAGAATGTTCAGATCACCAATGAAGACATGCAAAAAGGATATGCTCATCTTTTCTACAAACTTGTCATGTTCATCTTGTGTTTTAGGGAAATTCTCAATGTCATTTTCTAGGCGCTGGATCTGATGGTTCATTGAATCAAGGTTGCTCTTCAGAGTCTGGGCTGAAACTAAGAAAAAAATGATAATGAGTAAAAAGCTTCCAGATTCCAGAAAGGATATCAGAAGGGGAAAAAACAATGTCAGTATAAATAGCCTTGAGGAGAATGATTCCATTAACTAGACACATTCTTCTGAATTACTGCTCATATTAATCCTACTCTTAATAAAAATTAAGTGAAAATATCTAATGTAATATACCAAATCATCATATTTAATGTTGAAATGTCACCACTTAATTCTACCATTAGTTCAAATTATTTGATTTTATTTAAATTTATTGGTAAAAATTCTAATATTTCATTCTTTTAAATCTAATTCAAAGATTAAAAAGTAACTAAGGTTCAAAGATATTTTGCCTTATTAATGCATGTACTTGGTTAAAGGAATGATCTTATTAACGCATGTACTCAGCTACAGAAATGATTTAAGGAATAGACACGGAAAAAAGATCAAATATTTTTCTTTTATTGAAATTAACCCTAAAAGCTACTGATTAATAAAAAGAAGTAAAGGACTCACAGTACAGCAAAAAAAAAAGGGGGGCTAACCCAATGAAAAAATGCCTTCTCTCCTACCCCTTCTAATGTAAACCACTATTTCTGTAATTTGTATTAAACAAACACTAATTGATACATCATGAGAGAAATCTCTATCGGAAACCATGACATCACAATTTTGAAGGTGAAGTAATACCATACCACAAAGAAATTCCAGAACTATATGAACAGTGACAGAATCTCTGCAGAGAAGCCCCTGGTCAAATTGTAACGTTAAAACAAACTGGACCCATAATAGTGAGTTTTATGACATAATCCATAAAGTCCACTTATCATTCTCAATTTAATCATAAACAAGTTTGACAAGCACTTCCTCTCAATTTAAAGATGCATTTTAGAACCAAATTCTATCTTCTGTTCTTTGTCGCCTCTTGCATAGTTTACAAATACGTGCTTTCAAGAACAAGCAGACAACCTCAACACCACCTTTCCCCAAAGAGCACTGTAACATTTGCACCGTTTCACGTCCTTCCTCTAAACTGGGTACAGTACTCCGTTTCAGAGGCAATTTATACTCTGGTCGGTTCTTAGAAAGACAGTGCCACAAACAACTTTTGATATGTGGAACCAGAGGTGAGAACATCCAGCGCATTATATGCTCTTCAGTAATTGGCCAGTCAATGTTCTTTATTGACTGCAGGCAGCTGCTCTACAAAGCCAACACTGTAGATTTGCACCCCAGCTAACCCAAGGACTCTTTGTGTAGTCAAGATAAGCACGTGACTTTTTTTTTCTTTTAAAGGTGCTTCCGCTTTTTATTATTTTTTGACAGTAAGCTATCTGTCCAAAAGTTGCATAGATCCTCTTTCCTTGTAATTTAAAAAAATTGTGCTGTGACTATGACATTAAACAGTAGCAGGAATTTGATTCAAGATGGCTTGAAAAAGAGTACACAGGAAATAAAAATCCTGTAAATAAGGAAGCTGTTCCCAGAACAAAATTAATTCTATATTCCTTGTAAGTAACAATTCATATCAGCCATAACATCACCGATCTAACTTTTCACAAGCATGTTCAAACACATAAGGCACCAATACAGCTGTCTATCACAGACAATCTTGATTTTAATTTTCAATGTTATCTATTTTATACTGGGTACCAAAGGAACTACTAATCATGTAATCTTAAAATTATACAGGTTTTTAAGCTTATATTAACTGGGGGGGGGAATAAATAAATCTATACTGACCACAGCATCCTTGTAGCTATTAACTTAACATTTGAGAGTTAACCTTGAAATCAACCACTAAAGCAGTCTGAATAATAAACATTATTGAAGCTTTTAGGTTATGGCTGCATTAGTTTAATCACTTGATATTATTGTCAGAAAAGGAGCACACATTTTTGCTTGAACTGAGGAACTTGAATTACTACAATATTTTTTAGAAGCTGTTATGTAGTTGGATAGGGAGACAAACAGCACTGAAGTAAAATGCTAGAACTGAAAAATAAATTAGGAGGATGCAAATCATAATTGTGTTGGTAAAAAGAATAGCAGCTGGTAAGTAAATAGGCAACATAACAGAAAGTTTAACTCTTCTCAGCAATTTGAAAATATTTAAATGCATGACCGCTTGGCAAGAGTAGTAGTTTATTTTTGTCTGAAATTTAAAAGTGCAAAGAAATTCAGCAAGCAATGACAAATAAGAAGTCTTAGCCTCTGTGATTAAAATGGAAGAAAAACGTTTTCAGTAAATCTGTTTTATAAAACTAAGTTCAGAAAACAGTTTAATTTGGTTCATACTGACTTTGAAAGTATAAAGGCACTCTATGCAAGCAAGAAGGCCGCATTCAAAAGCTGTGCTTCCCATACCTAACTTCTATATTCACACTGAATTATCAAAAAACACTACAGAATATTCATTTTCATTCACATTTTTTTGCCTAGCCCAGGCAAACGTACAAGTTTCTGTTCAAACAATTTATGAAGCTGTTGTTCTGCAAGATAAGCTGAAAATGATTACGTATCAGGAAAAATATATGTAGGCTACAATAAAAATATCTGCATTTCCTCCCATAAACCATTTTATTAGATATTTACTACTTCAGTAATGTGAAGAGGAGGCAACATGAATACCTTTTACTCTTTCAGGGAAAATCATGTGAATTTCTTAAAAGTCTTGCAAGGTTTTAATTTATGAAAGTATAAACTCTACTTGCAGCAAAAAGCTACTTCTTTGAAACCATTCCATAAATACACATACTGAAAAGACTGTGTCTATCACTGTACTCCTCAAAGCTGGTGATCACAAGACAAAGGCTTGTTCACCTTCAATTTGCCCATCATTCCACATGAAAATTAAGCATCCTAGTAGAACTAGCCTAAAAATATACATGAAATGGAGCATTTGGCTTTCAGTGGCACACAAGCACTGTTCAAGAACCATTACTGGGAAAGCCTCTCTGTAGCAGCAATTACGATTAAATTCCATTTAACATTGCAGCAGAGAGCAACCAACTAGGATACAAGATAGGAACAATAAGGCAGATACTAAAAAACACGATAAAGAAGAAAAAAACCCACCAGCAACAACCACCAGAAAAAACTCTCTGTAACCCACACACACTCTAGAATGAGCAGTCCCAAAAAAAAGGAAGCAGCCTACAAGAAGCCTGGACATTTCCCTGGATTAGCAGCAAAGATAAAATATTTGCCACATTTCAAAAGTAAAACAAATCAACGGCAATAAACAATCTACCTCACCACCCTCACAGCTTTACAGGAGAATTAAGACCCCCATCCACAGTGGAAAGGTCAGCATTTAAGAAATGGGAAAGCTTGAGAACTCAAAAGAAAGTCCAATTTGCTGACACAGGGAATAGTGGAGGCAGATGGCATAAACAAGTTTAGAAAAGGATTATTTAGATTCATATACAACAGATCCATAAACAGATATCAAAAGGAATAGGCCGGGATGTAATGTGTAACATGTCTCTGAGAACATGTGCAGATGGTGGGGTTAACAGATTGCAGGAACTGCAGTGTTCTCCCTAAATACTGTATCTTGCTGCCAGCACCAGACAGAGCATCAGGTTGTGTGGACCACTGGTCTGTCCCAAGAGGACACTTAGTACATTCTTATGCCTTAAATTAAAAAAAAAAAAACCAAAACCCAAACAAAAACCACGTAAACCAAAAAACCTATATATGGACCTATCTTCAAGACCAAGGAGGGGAAAAAAGGCAGCAAGATTTCTCAATCTCTACCAAACTGTATCAGACTGGCCCCTTATTTAGCAATAAGAAAAAACTGGCTTGCGGCGAGCTGCTGCAACTCTAAGGTGGAAAGAAATACAGCACCTTTAACATGTATACCTCAAACCACTATAATAGAAGGATTTATGAGAGAGAGTAAGAATTCAATACCAGAAATTAAACACGTATGTTTCAACTAACTAAAGTATTATCACACAGAATTACTATTAACATATAGGATTAATACAAACAAGGTGAATATGAAGTTATGCATATTAATATTGTCAGATTCTTTTTCATGTCAGTGGAAGACTAATATAAGCACCTAGATTTATCAAGATTCTCTCTGCACAAATACAGAATAGAAGCTCAGTTAATCATGCATCATTAAATCCACAACTGACTAAAAGATTATTTTGTGTATTATTATTTATTTATAATCAAAATCCACAGTCATTGAAAAGAAGGCACAATATCATGTTGACATGAAAGGTGATAATTTTTTTTCGTCACTTTACTATTTTCCCTGTATTAATTCCTCCTCTGTAAAAAAAAAAAAATCCCATCCACTTATTTTGGAGAAAGCAGTTGCACAGACTGCACGCTAAGGAAGGCTTAGTGAATGTCTGGTAGACCACTTTAGTCCTAGAAAAATGCTACAAGCAGTTAATCTCATGTTAATATCAAATGCTAGCTAGTCCCCACAGTCAAGCTAAGCATTTTATATTTACAGTAATACAGTAATAGTACCAAGGGACAGACTAGTCCTTTCCAAAATAAGATTGTGTCAAAGAGTCCTCCCCTATAACGAGGGGTGGAACGATACAGTTTGATTAGGTGCAGTGTCTCTTGCATAATAAATTTAAAGGGTCACTGATCACGATGCAAAACAGGAATGGCCACGTCCACATTTAGTAAAAACTCTGAAGTGAGAGCCAATGACATAAATGACTTCAGTAAGCAAAGGCAAGTCTATATGAAGCAAATGAACTACTGGATTTGTAAGTCTAGACGGAATTTGTGCCGTAACTACATTCTGAGCATACTAATGATTATTTATTTCTTATTGCCTGAGGGCAGTTGGAAGTAGTCTTTCACAAAAGTCTGAAAAACAGTTTGAGGGGAAATGGGTGAGCAAGTACATAATCTGCAGGAATTACAATTATTGATTACTCAATTCATACCACTAAGTTTATATTTATTAAGAGAATAAATGTTCTGTTCAAGTTAGGTTAACAGCGCTGCTACAGCCTAC